GTTTTTCATCGGTAACAATCATGTTTTAATCGATTTACATAGTGGCACATTCCCCACCTTTTTTCAAAATCGCAAAATCGGGTTTTTTACGCCAATGGCTATAACTTTTAAATTTTTGTAGAATTTTATCAAACCAATGTTATCAAAAGGAAGGTTACAACTCGCACTACAAATCCATGCTTTGGAATTTTCACAAAAAATAACTTTTATGTGGCCCAACCTTCCCCTATGACTGTACACTACCAGCTATGCTAAAAATGTTTTGTTCTTTCTAGTACTCACAACTGTATCTCAAAATATTCATTTCAGCCAAAAAATGGTGTTAATTGGTCAGGAGAATTTAAAATGAAAATACGATAACGGTGCTTCGAAAGACGTCTATGACGAACGGTGACGGGGTGATTTGGTTCAAACGCATGTAAAAGTTATAGATCTTAATGGGAAAAGTTTTAAAAAGTAATAAAACGATTGATGGTTCAAATTCGCTTTTCTTCTCTAGTCCAGAAATAAAAGGGAGGATGACGAGTAGAGTTGAAATCCTGATGTCTGTCTATCCGTCCGTGCAAGCTGCAACTTGAGTAAAAATTGAGATATCCTGATGAAACGTATCATGCGAGAGTATAAAGTGTTCGGTAACACCCGAACTTAGCCCTTCCTTACTTGTTTGTTCTTATGTTTACAAATTTTGCGAAACTGTGCTGTGACTACGATTTTATTATAAAAGTATTAAATGTGGATGCATATTGTTTTAAATACATTTGTATGGAAAAGTTGTAAAGTAAAATGTTTGATGGCTCTCAAATACTGTAATTAGTGAAAGATAGACTTTTTTGTTTTTGTGATTGCAATGAAAAATTAGACTTGGAAAATTCTTCTGTTGAGAGTTGAAAATTTCCTAAGCATCCATAGAGCATCAAAGTATGAACTAAGTGTGATAAATGTACTCTAGGAACAAATATGAATATCAAGTATCAAGACCATTTCCGGAATAATCCAAAAAAAATTTCGAACAATTTAAGAAATTATAGTGAGGAATAAGGAGAACGGTTCCGCAAAGAACTAAATGTATTGGATTAAAATCATCGAGGTTAATGGAATTTCACATAATAGCAAATTGCTGCTGGCCGCTGAAAATAAACAGTCAACGAGAAATTATTGTCTCTCTATTTACTGCGTATATCCATGCTTTTCAAAACAAAACTCACGTTTTAAATATGTATTATGATTTTTATAATGTGTTAATGCATAAAATAAATGTTAAAAAAATTTTTAAAATAAACTAGTGCAAATCTTACAATATCATTGACGATATCGTGAACTGTGAGCGTAAATACCATATATCTAAAATATATATAATGCAAAAAAACATGAAACCACTGTAGACCATAGTTATTCAGAAAATATAGTTCATTCAACAAAATAAAAAAATAAAAATTGCAGAGGCAACTTAATTACTGCTTACACCAAAAAACGTTCATTATCTTATACCTTTTATAGAATTTTTAATTTCTTCCATTCCTCAAATAAACACACTTTGAGTTCTTGCATATAGATACATATTTATTTGCTTATCATTACATAAAAATATTTATAAACGAACTTCAAAGAAAATATAATACTAATCAGTCTACGAATGTGATATTTGGTTGAGTTATTTGGATTTTGTTATATTTTTATTTTTCTGCCTACAAACATTTACTATAATCGTTTTGGTTTATTTAGTAATTATTATTTCTTTTGATAGAGTAGTCCACATAGTAATACATTTTCCTGCTCGCTGCAAATTTATTTCGGATGTGCTGGTCTAATTTGCAACTAAAAAACAAGTATATAATCCCAGAAACACTTTTATAAAATCGCTTTTGCATCACGACTTATGCTCTTGAATGAAAGGATTAAACTTTATCCCACATTTCGATATCTCCTTAAGAAGTAAAAGATCTTATGGCATTCATAGACACCGTGATTTCTTGATTATTTTCCAAAAATTTGCCTTCCACTTCTCTTACGTATTACAATAATAAAATACAACCTTCAAATAGTATTTTAAAATATGGAAAAAATAAGAATTTTTCTGTTTTCTATTTCCTCCACATTAAAATATTGCTAAGCAACAGTTCTGGTGAAAGATAACGAAGAAAAGACAATTTATTATAGTTTTTCTCTCTCCGAAATAAATGTTCCCGTTGAAAAGAAGAGAAAAGTAGAGAGGGAAACTAAGTCTAACTGGTATTTGGCTCGATATCGAATGCCGTTTTCTTTTTTTACAAAATTTAATATACTTCAAGCCAAAATATTTTATGAATATTTGGTCCGAATTCCACTTCTATTTGTAGTGTGGATAAATTTGTCTTCATCTAATTCATCTGATCTCTAATATGAACGGAGCCCAATAATATATTTTCTATAAAAGCAACATACTTAATGTCATGCCAACTCTTAGATTTCAGTCTCAAAATAGAAAAAAAAGTAGTTCTGTTATGAACCAAAACCGAAACCAATTTATCATTTTTGACATTCAAATAAAATCAACAAATAAACTTTCTCGATCCAATCCGTTTAAGATATCACAAAAATTATCATTTTGAGCTCCAAATTTGGAAATATAAGTTGCTGAGTTTCGAAATAAGTAATAACGCTATATTTTGCATACTTTTCCGACTTCTCGGGACTGAATTTGAAGTGCATTTAACCAAAAGAGTATATAATACATAACTTTCTACAAGGGTTGCGATCTTTGCTTGATTATAAGTATATTAATATTGTAAAAAGAAAATCTGAAGTAAAATTGTTTCGGTGTATTTATTATTATAACTTTTATATCAAAACATCACAAACGTTACTGAGATACACAATAAGCTTCTCCATCATAACCACATATCCTCGTAAACATTGTAGCGCCCTTTCTACTAAAACCTGTATATAGGTGTGTGTATACAGTGTGTGCTTACGTACATATGTAAGTGGGTATATGGTCTATGGTGCCTGAATACATATTTTTAAAATCTTACGAATTTCATAAATATACAGATATGTACAAATATTCTTTCGCTTTAAAATAATACACTAACATTTTTATGCACTAAATTAACAAAAACAAAAACAAAAGTTATTTATAGGTTTGCTTAAAATCATATATGTACATAAGTGGCTTTTGCTAAAAACTTTGCTCAACATTTTATATTATCTATTTATTATTACAATATTTTATGTTATATTAATTTATTTTATTTTTCTTTTTCCAGTTTGCTAGTAAGTCGGTATATTATAATTATGAACTTTTGTAAACATTTGCTGGCTACTTTGGTTTACGCTACTCAGTTTTTACTGTATAAGTATATTGGGAACATTTTTTGTTGTTGTGTAAAATTTTTGATAAATTATTTCGAGAAACAAAAATATCGTATCAATTGGTGGGCTCACAATTAGCTTATGCACATAGATATTACATATACATTTCAAAAAATTTTGCAACGTTTTAAAAATTGACAGTCTCTATTTTTTACGGATGCAACGCTAAATGTCACGCTGGGGTGTATACAGACATACATATTATACATAAATGCTAGCTTAACAGTATGTAAACATCAGCATATATATAATAGTACATATACATACATATGTAGGTATTATAAGAACAGTTCTAGTTTTGGACAACATTTTGTTGCTTTTGTTTTTATTAAATACTAAATGTGGTGTTTAAATCACATCGTATAATATATATATTTCTATTTATGCCATAAATTATGTAAGTACGTTATGTAATATCTAATACATGTTTGCTACATCCGTTATGAATATACATTATAGGATTTGATGTTAATTTATTTTCCTGTTATCCATTGTTGGTTTTATTGTTTATGTCAATACTTGATGAATGCTAATCTGATCACTTGATTTGGTTTGTGTATTTGTATTGATTTATGAATGTTCATATATCTATTTGTAATACTTTTATGTAAGTGTATACAGGGTGGTTCATATAGGTACTGCATTTTTTTCTGATTCAATGTTCCTTTAGGTAAAATATATTTTTGGAAAGTTTGGACGAAAGTCAGGTGATACAATCTCCTTAGAGAGAAATTAAGTAAATATTGAAACAGTGGCAATATTGCCCGACTTTTCTCTGAATAAGATGTCGAAGATTTGCGCTCGATTCTCCAAGCGTTGGAGAGCAGCGAAACGGATAGACTATGCCAGTTTTTTGGAAATATGATCTCTAATTTCTCTATGTTTCTTTGAAAGAGAAATACTTCTTTAGGATTTAGCTTTTATCTCGAATTAAACCTAATAATATTGTTATTGTTTACATGAGAATATTTTGAGTAAATAGCACAAGCAAAGATGGCGTGGAGAGAAATAGCGAATCGAATCACAACATTCGGAAAATAGATCGAGATGCCGTCAATAAGGTCTCAGAAAACTGAGTTAAGGAGCCATACTATTCCAAAGCCACTATTCACCTTGAAGTTCTATAAAAAGAGTTTTCTTTTCCATAAACATTTTTCTCAAGTACCAGGCCGATATAAAATTGATTGCTTAGACCCAAAGTCTTCAATATTTCTTCTCTCGTGGCTTTTTGGTATAATAACATTTTTTCTGAAAATTTGTAGTCAACTAAAGCATAAAACAATATAATTAAAGGAAACAAATTCCACTATATAAACCACTCTGTATGCTTTCATCACATAATTTAATGTCACCTAGGAATGGTTCTTACGAGAAACGTTTTCAAGGCAAAAAGTTAATGGGAAGCATGAAAATTATGCCAAAAATTTTTAAAATATAACTATAAACTAATTCAAATACACTTGTATTTTATAATATGGGTGAATCCCATCAAATTACCAACTTATATGCTTTCATACTTAAAAATTATTTCCTTGCGTAGTGTAAATATTGGGCAAATAAGAGTGCTCGTGCGCCTACATACTCGTGAGTGCGTGAATTGTCGAATAAATATTATAGCTTTAAGCGCGATAGCCAGTATTCTCCTTCTGCAAATTGCTGCTGTTTATCACATTATTAATATCGATGACCACCGAATCGGTCATCGAGCACTTGCTATCCAACTCTGTTTGCCCTTCGAGCAAGGCATTTCCGTTTGGCGTACCAACTGGCACTTCCTGTATGAAAGAAATGGGAAGATAAAAGTTAAAATCAGTAAAACGTAAAGCGAAATTGGAAGTAATAAGTTTATTTTAGAAATATCTGGCAACATAAGTGGTATGGTAGCTGTACATTGTCACTTCGTTGTGCGACGCAACACTTTTGCCCGGCGGTGGCCGCTGTACGACATTTAAACTCGCAACGCGTGGAGCACATCTGCAATCGGATTTTTAGTGATCATAGCAAATAGCATGTCATGTTTGAGTTGCTCAAACTTTATATGAATTATGTATGTATGTAATATATGGAATTACCTAAGTACATTCCTACCGTTTCTCGTCGTTTATCGAATAATTTTGACACAGTTTTTTCTTTATACTTAGGCCGATATCAAAGCCGATTGTATTACCTGATAGAGTATGGCGGCATCCAGTGCCATTAGTTCTTTGCGTGATAGCTCTTCAACGACGGCAGCGGCATAACAATCGCCAAGCATGTTGTTTGTGGTGCGCATTCGATCGCTGAAATTGGTATATGGAGAAAATATTAGATTCGAAAAATAAACCAAATATAAGAAAGATAGATAGAGATATGATCAATATAGCTATTTGGAAAGTGTTGCTGATTACTTCTTGATAATATCGTGCCTTTAATAATTGTTCGAAATATATTAAGAACCTATTAGTTAAGAGAAAGGCTAAACCACATAATTTCCATGAAAATAAGACTTAAATTTGTAATTAGAACTAACATTTATACTCGCTAAATGGGCACCGAGGACGACGAACCATGTGCATATCCAAACGAAACTGTTAAGGACGAAAGCTAGTGCTCTGATGGCACTAAAGGAAGGCATCGCTTATGAAAATTTTGTATGCAAAAGCTCTGTACTAAGTGGGCGCTAATCCGGTCTCTCGAATCAATAAAAAAATGGTAAAATTACTTTTTAGTGCTTCCGTATCCACAGAGTTTTTCGGATTTTGTCTGATAGACATGTTTTAGTGTTTCAGTGTATCGTTTTTGATGGGATCTATAGTTAAACCAATTTTATAAAAAAATTTAGCATTTCCACTAAAATGGAACGAACTTCTCAGCCTGTCTGTTAGATAATCGTTTCAACTTCTTTTTGCACAATATTAGGACATTTGCTCTGATCTTATTCCACAAATACTAGGGCCTACAAATCTGAGACGAATCCAATATTAAATGTTTGTTTTTAGAGAAATGAGTCCAAATAGTATTTTGATGGTGATGTACCAAAGTCAGATCATTCAGGTTGGCTTCAGTTCAATTTAGTGAGTTCAGAATCAATCATTTTTTAATTCTTATTTTTGCGAAAGGCGGATCAAGCTCAAGACGCTTTCCTGAAATCTAAGAAGATTGGTTGAAAAGGTCTGTTTTGTTTTAAGTCTAGTTTTCATAGGTAATATTGCGGCTTAGAAGCGTATGTACATGAAATTTACAGAAGATACTCACACGAACCAATCGACAGCAAAGAGTAGAGTAACATCTTGTACCGGAGCATCGATGGCAGTAAGGACCACAAGCAGCAGAACCAGAGCAGCACTCGGAACACTAGCCGAACTCATAGAAGCCGCGGTCGAAGTCAATAAAACCGTGACCAGTTCACCAAAACCCAACGGTATGCCACTCATCTGGGCGATAAAGATCGAGGCGATCGCAATGAAGAGTGCCGTGCCATCCATATTGATGTTACAGCCGATCGGTAGCACAAACCGGCTGATGCGCTGATCCACACGCAACTTGTCGTTCATGCAACGAAAGGTGATCGGCAGAGCAGCAGCACTGCACTTCCACGAAGCGGTACGGTAATGATCCAACAGCAAAATTTCAGGGTTTCGAGGAGAAGTATTGCCATTTCGGGTGACGATAAAGTGATGCAGAGATTTCAGGAGCAATTCATATAAAACGCGTTAGGCACAGCACAGGCATTTTGTAGAGAAGAGTCAGTCGGCCATTTCGAGTTTGTTGTTTATCATGATTTTATAAAATTGTGGTTATTGATTTGTTATTTGTTATTTTTGTAAACATTTTCAGATTTATGTTGATTTTTTGGTTATTTGTCAAATGACGCATTTCGAGTTGTTACGATTTTTATAGTTTTTATTTTTTTCAAAATAAAAATTTAAAATGCAAATCAAAATTGGAAATTAAAAGAAAGAAAAAATATTTGTAGCAATTAAAAATAGGTCTAACGGTGCTGCATTCATTAATCACAGGCAAAACCTCGACCACACAACCGCATATAAAATACATATATGCATATATAACAGTATATAGTATATAGTATATACTGTCCATATACATATATACTTATATCGATATGATCGTGGAGTAAATTTGAATGCAGCCAACGTTAATGATATACTGTTATATATTATATATATAAATGTATATGTGTATACTATATAATATGAGCGTGCTCATATACATATATATTATTATGAGACAATTTCTGGCATTTAAAAGTGCTCTTTCGAGTATACAAGTACCATAATCAAGAATGCAATTATCACAGATACAAAGACTTCAGATACGTTATGAGGCAGTACAATAAGTACATATGTATGTATGTATATATGTATGCTGTTATGCGTTTTATGTTACATACATACAAGATAGTTACATAGTTTTACATATGTATGTAGATATGTTCGCTTACGTTGAGGCTGTCGCAAAAGCGGTCAGCATGGGCTGTATAAGTCCGGCATAGAATTTGAATGGATTCCGTCGCACGAATACAAAATAAATCCCTTGCATTATAATAAATTGATATAGGCATACGCCAATCAGATTGGTGAGTATAAACCACATCAGCTGCTCCATGACTAAATGCAGATCGTTGACGCCCAATATCTTGCCAGCTATCACTGAACTAATGCCGATGGGTGTTAGCCACATGACGCAGGTGACCATCTTCATAATAACCTCAAAGACGGCCGTAAAGAAATCCACCACAATTTGCCCCTTTTCGCCGATCGTGCCCAGTATGGTGCCGAAGACTAGGCAAAAGAAGACGATGCCCAGCGTGTTGGTGCCGCTGCGATATTGCACCACACGTATAAGCGCCGGTTCGAGTACGTCACCGCTTTGTTGTTGTTGTGCTTGTATCTCTTCGGTCGGTTCGAATTCGGTGCCGATCGCGGTGTCGTTAAGTGTCTCATTGAATGTATGCAAAATACTGGGTTTGGGAAGGTAAACAGTGTGCGCTTGTTGAAACGATGCTTGAAAGAGATTGTCCGGGAAAACGTTTCTGAAAAAAATCAAATTCAAAGCCTGGTATTTTAAGAACACTTAATCTAAACGATATATTCATATTTGATACCATAAAATTAAGAGCGATTGAAATAGGATTTTCCAGGGGCAATAGAAATATACTTCTTTCGATCATTTTATTCAAGAATGACAATAGCTATACTGCTTAACATATTGAATATTTATATATATTTGTTGTTGTATGAATGTGCTTCAAGCAAACTCTTCAAAGAGGGGGATCCCGTTCTGAAAAATTCTCAAAAAATAACTATTTCGCTAACCTATTTGGTTTAAATTAAATTAACAAAAAATTTTAAATTTATATTATCGATTAATATTTTGAGAGGTTAAGAATGTTACCAATTTTAATTTTTGTCTCTAAAAAATATTTCTTAATTGGAAGCTTACTTTTATGCTAATATACTTGGTAGTGTTATTTCGGAATCACTTCAACTTACATTTGATGGAATAAATCATTTAAACAGGTGGCAACCCTTCGCAAGAAACAATTTATCTTCTTTTCTCCATCGCACAATAAACAAAAAAAAATTGTTTCCAAAAATTTCGTCCGCCTGCCGTAAACACTTTAGTATTATTTCCGTTATGTAAACGGAAATGCAAACAACTGGTATTTTTTGCTCACAAAACATTTGCACAAGCAAACATATGCTCTTATCATATTGAAGTTCCTTAGCCACCCGGTATCGATATAAACTGCCTTATCATCAGAATTGTGGCATAAGCAAATCCATACCGGATGATGACGGGAAACGCAGCGTATCTCAAACTGTTGGGAGAAGTTTCGTCAATCTAACACCCTGTTCGCAATAATTCAAATTTTACACTGGCTCATCCACATTTGTGCGACTTCGATAACAGGGTGACGAGAATTCTTTATAATTATTAAATAAATGCCATAGAACGTAAATTTCATACGCAGAGAACGTATATGATATACGATATAGGTAGAGAACGATATACGTATATAACAGAGAACATTTATCATGAAAGACGTTCTCTGTATATAAAATAAGTCCTCTGTTGAATTACAATTAAATTTGGTATTTACTAAGTTTCATTAAAGGTCATACACTCAATTACAATAGTTTTATTGGTATATATGTGTTACTTCTAAAATTTAACTTACTAAAATTATATACATATCAAACTCAAATGTGATATTTACTTAACCCTATAGGCTAAATTGAATATAATGAGTTGGCTTGGAAAACGTCACTGCTTAAAGTCAGGATGAAAGTCGATAATCACTATACTGGGTAGTTTGGGAGCTTGTTGTCGAGAACTTATTTTCAAGCAGTTCTATAAATATACATATAACTAACAAACTGACCTATGTACACATTCTGCATAGAATAACGAAAATCATTACATGCAGTAGTATCTCATTATTTCATATATTTTCGGGAATAAACGGTGGTATATAAATTATTAAACTTCAAGTTAATTTGACTGAAAAATCGTACATATTAACCGATATAGTATAATGCCAACAAAAAGTTTGAAAATCCTATATTTGGTATATTAGTACCTGTTCGTGGTGAAAGAATCGGTTGAAATTTAAATTTTGAGTTATAAGCGAAACGACGTTATTTACAAAGGAATGTCATAAGTATGTAGGTACCGAATTTAGTTGAAAATAGTTGATAACGGTTGATAAGTTCCTAAGATACAGGTATTCACATAAAAATAGGTGCTGTCACAGCCGTTCTCCTATTTTGACACCGACTCCTATAAAGCCTTCTGTCAGCATGACGCATTTTGTTATTGGTTTATCGCTATACAATATATTAAGCTTATTAATAGGGTGGGACCACGTCACTTTTTAAAAATGTTCAGCCTCATGAGCTCCAAATCTTAATTAGTGCCCTAGTTAGGGCATTCTATATCCATCTATGAAATTGTCCTTTCTTTTGTTATCGCTTACACTGACTGACAGACAGACAAATAAATAGTCACTCGGAATGCAACTCGTCTCGTCATCCTGATCATTTGCATATAACCATCTATCAGTCTCGATTAATTTTAGGTGGTACTGACAACCGTTAGGTGAACCAAATAAACTATTATTCTTTCGCTCACCTTCCCAAATCCAAAAGACTATCCAGTAGATTTACAGCCCTTTTATCAGTAGAACGATCGGCGGTATTATGTAGATTAGGATCACCGGGATGGATTAGCAGCACCAAGGCAATGCCGAGCAGCGCGTTCAAGAACGAAGTCGTCACGAAATACACCAAAGTGCGCAATGCAATTTTACCGTTCATGCGTGCATTTAAACTAGCCGAACCGGCGATCAAGCTGGAAATGATTAACGGTAAAATCATAAGCTTTAAGACGCGCATGAAGAGTTCGCCCGGATAGGAAATCAACATAATGGAGTCCTCATGTAAGTTCAAGGGCCGCAACGTAAAACCTTTGAAGAAAAGACAATACTTTAGTTTACAGCATTTGTGTATATGCTATACATACATATATATATATTAATAATAATTCCACAAATATGTATTATTTATAAATTGAGTTATTCTTAAATCTTAAAAGTTCCTTACAAGTCCACAAAGCATATGAGCCTACCAAACCTTTTTTGAGGTGGCTAATCTCAGTTTCGTCTTTTATTTTCGCCTAAGAAAAAACTGTAGAGCTGTTTCAACTTCAGTCTTTCAAAGGCTGGACAATGGGAAAGAATGGTACCACTTTGACAACTAGCTAACTTCTAACGTAAAAAAATAAAATCCTAAATGGCCATAGTCCCTTATGGTTAAAAGACTACATTAACTAACTAACTAATAGGTTAAAGCTGATATCAATGCCCAGTTTTTCAGATATTCAGATTACTTTCGCCCAAATACGATAGTGGAAATCACGCGTGTCTATCGCTCTGCTTGAAGGCTGAATTCACTTTATATGGCCAGGGGTTTTACGTCTGACAATACTAAGATGTATTCAATATGTCACATGAGAAGATTCAGAGACTTCAAGATCACTTGGAAAACTCTTCACTCGGATTTTCAAGAGCACATTAAATTTAATTAGTACATTGTTCGAATTAATAAAAATCAGTTCACAAAACTCGCTATATGATGATTTTGGTATAGTTAAGCACCGACCTCCTAATTTTTAAGCAGGGTTCTATAAATATCATTATGTTCAAATTTTGGATTTTATAAGACTAGGAATATAAATGTCTGTAACATATTTTAAAGATTCGATGTTTTATCAAATGTTCAGTAAATAACATACATGGTATGTACACACATAAGTATATACACCATACGATTGGAGATGGTAGGTTAGTTAGCTTAAGGAAATCCAGGGAAGATTTTATAGGATATGACATATTCCATGATATATAGTATTTACCAAAATAAACAAAATCGTGTCGATGAAACCCCCTCTTCCATATACTACATATACTTACTTTCATTACTCTAACGAACCTTATGTCGAATACGTCGGTCGGTGATTGTTTTCTACATACAAATACTTGTATACCTAATTGCTTGGATTCGGATCAACTGGTTGACATTTTACAACCTAAGGTATTTCAATGTTTTTGATTCTTGCAAGTTACAAGAGTGTGAAATGTTCGGTTACGCGCGATTTTAACTAAACTCTTCGTTACTTTTTTTTCAATGAAATTAAATGAGCCATATTTAAAAGGGGTGACATTAAAATGATGGATAGAAGCAAATATGCTTGCATGTTGACATAGTACATATACTCTTATGCGAACATATACATACATATGTATAAACTGTTATGTGGTGGCACTTATGTAGTAAGCTCAAGACATGGCCGAGTGACAGCCTGAGCACGCGAATGACACTTCGTTCTTGTAAACTGGGCCAACAAGCTCAAGGTCACATTCGTTCGTTCGCTTTTTATGCACACACATATACATACATATATACACTTCTGCTTATGTAAGTGTTTTGCCATTTTTTCCGTGTTTTGAAAACACAAGTGAACTTGACAGCCATTCAAGTGTACTGTTTTGTTGCGGGAAAGCCAGTGAACCGTGAGGAACGCCACACAGGACGGCCGATAGAAGATAATTCGCGTAATTGCGAATTACATCGCAACATCGTAGTATGGGGACCGTGCCCTCCGCCTGCTAAGGCAGTGCATTAATCGGCGGTGACTGTCAGCGAGACGTACGAGGGTGTGTATCAATAAGGGAGACAAACAACGATAATGCTACTTGTTTTTTTTAACGTTGGCACTCTCATTAGGCTAATTATAATGTGATAACGCCTTTTTATCGCGCTCTCATGTCAGAAGGCAAACATGCCGCAAGTGTCAGGAGTTTACACACCCACGCAGAAAAAAATTATTTCATACATATCTGATGTGGCCATTCCAGCGATTGAATGGATACTGTTATTTTTGAACTCTTTGAGAAGAAGGCCTGTTTTTTCGGAGGGGGGTAGTAGCCTATTTTTGCAACTTGTTGCAGAATAATTTGCAAGAAAAGTTATTTATTAAATTTTGGCTATTATTGAAATGTAAAAGAGAGGAAGTCATTCCAGAGTACTCCAAAATCAACATTTTTAGTTGAAGGTACACTCTAGGATAATAGAGAAAAAATTAATTTCCTTGTCTAATCAAAGGTAATTGCTATGTGTACGGCTCGCTCAGTTTGAGCACATGAAACTTTAAGTGCGGTTTTCTCGAATCAGGCATTGGCGGCACTCGAACACTATTGCATACCGTCTTATGGACTTGGTATTCGAACTCTAACCTCACAATAATTTTTTTTGTAAACCAAATACGATATTTATTCTAGGAACTACTATTATATTATGCTGCTGCATTTTTCCGTCAAATTATTAAACCTTTTTTATAAGCCTAAAAGTGTGAAGCAACTTTAATAGCAAGTCTTATGAAAATTAAGTTCTTGTCTCTTTGTTTGGTTCAGAATGCATGAACTACTAGAGTTTCAGAAGATGGAGTTAGTAGCCCCATTTTATATCAAAATATCAGTATTTTCCATTTGTAGATATACAAATACATTTTAAGTAAAGCCTGAAAGATAGAATCGCTTCTCTTCTCCTTATTCCCAGAGTACTCAAGAAGTAAGAAAAGAAGGAAAGCGATCATGTCCAAAATATGCACTCAAAAACCATTATCTAAGCTGAAATTCTAAGATTCGGCCAGCACCTTTATGATACGAGAACATTTCCCTTATAATATATTGAATAAAATGCTTTGCCAACTTTTTAGATATTTAACATATTTGGTGATTTAAAATCCAAGAGCTTTTGGCTATCTGGCACCGTGAGTATACACAACACCTTCCCATACTTCCGCGTTCTGGAGACCAGGCATGGAAAGATTTGGCTTTGTTTAGTTTTTAGAAACTTATTATTATTATTAAGAAGTACTTCTAATAGAAATTATATATAGTTAATATTCGTCTCTTTACATCTAGATATTAATCGCAAAATAAAGCTACAAAATTGATACCATTTCCTAACAAGTAGCGCTTTCTTATATACAAACTCGAGGCTTTGCAGTTGAGAACGAACCTATGTGTGCAAAAGATACACAGCTTTCAAAAAGTTCAGTTATTCTTTAAAAATAAATTTCAATTACTCTAAATTGATTTCTCCAAGAATTTCAATAAATCAGGTGAATTACAAAATTTCAAATATGTTAAAAAAAAACACAATTTAGGGAAAATAAGATATGTGAGTTAAATCCATTACTTATGTCGTTTTTACTACATATTGTTTGTTTCTTGCTTATACTCCTTAGATAAAATATCTGATAAAAATATGTCTACCTTTGCAACTGGTAGAAATGTAGTATTTTCCGAACTAAGTCAGTACTGAATCGTCATTTCTAGGCACAAATATTTCCCTTCACTAGTTTCATGTTTCATAGCAGAGTGACCATTACTTTTATTTATTTTTCCATTAACTACAAGTATATACGTGTCCGTACAATTTTGTGCAATGCAGCGAATTTTTATAAATATTCAAGTTCTACATTTACACAAGCACCCACAAATTCCAATTACATGTATAGTAATAATGTAGTAAATGTGTATTCGGCTATCATTCCAATTAGGTTAACTATAAAAGTGTCTGCGAAACTACATTGTTCCGAATTACAACCGTTATATAAAAAATAAATATTTGTGGAACAATAATATTGATTCAAATTCACATATTATTTAAAACTGCTGTAAAAAGCAACTAAAATTTATTTCAACGTGTCTCATGAAAGCAGGCTGTAATTTGGAATCATTTTGAAAAGAGAGCGTTGTTTACGGAACGTGTTTTAAAATTGCAAAGATTAAACTGCAATAAATATATAAATATTGACTTTACATGCGAATTATATATTTGTGAACACTTTTAGGCTGATTACATTTAATTATAACATTCAACTAAATTATGCCCGTGGCCATATTTCAACTCAATTTGAGTGACATTTTCGGCATACATATAATAGAATAGTGAAAATTAGTATATTCAGTACATGGAAACTGGACTGTTTTCATCCATTTTCATTAAAATATATTCAAGATTATACATACACTTAATTTTGCCACCTTAAATATTGGCTGATATATGCGGTATAAAGTCAACCCGAAGTATAATTGTTTTATTAAGAGATGTACTGCAGCCAATTAACCTATTTTTAACACCAAGTTATATTATCGTCAATAAAAAATAACCCTGTTATTTCTTAAAGTTATCTAACATATTAACAGATATTTCCAATAAAAAGTCAGTCATAAGTACCTATAGGACCTCATTTTTGATATCTGATGATTTGATGGTGAATGGTCCGATTTCAGCCATTGTTGGATATGAGATGTTAACATAATTTTATTCCGAGGCAATTTTAACTTTCCACTTGTAGGTTGACATTAAACTAGATTAAATATGAGTGAACTGCTAAGTTCAAGCCATGGAAAAAATACATATGTGCTATTTAAAATTAATCAAGCATGGCGTCGTTTTGTAGGTTATGTCGAGATCTTTCAAAGATGCATAGTATTGAAAGATACGAGCTCTATAGCGCTTTATACATAGCCGCGAAAATCAAAAAGGCGGAAGGGAGATATTTGACAAACTAATATTTAGATGTGCTTACATTATCCATTTCCGAAGAAACCAAAACGTGAGAAATGAGTAAACAGCTGCTTATGATTTACGACAAATTGCCATGAATGTCAGTAAAAGTTTTATCGCATAATTGCAATTTAGTCGCATGTACCAAATGAACAGCTGCTTTGCGATATCGTCAGTTTGCAATAAATTCTACAACTTTGCGTTATTGAATGAGTACCATTTTTGTATTTTTGTGACCCAAATAAGACTAAGTTCCATGATCTAATGTTTTAACATCTAGATGTAGATATCTACAATAACTTCGCATAACTTACTAAAATTTTCGATACCTTCATTATGCCAGATATTTGAAAATTGGAATACCATTATAGACTTTTTAATCCAGCTAAGTACCTTCGAAGTCCAAAAATATAATAAGCTCTTCGATATCATACGATTTTTATATACATACAGGGTTTGTCCGGAAAGTAATAGGACTGAGTCGATTTAAAAAAAAAAAATCATTGAACCAATCTTTAGAATTCTTTAAAATCTTTCAAAATAGGCACCTTCTGCGTCGATGCAACGCTGCCACCGTGATTTCCAAACATTGTTTGAATCCCCCTGTCCTATAAAATGCTTCCCTTAATTGGCCTTTTCATGCAAGGATACAAAAAAGATCTTAGGGACCACAGTTAGACAGCTATTCACAAGAAAGACCGGCTCACAGGCATTGTCGTGACGCAACTTCCAATCGGCTGCGATGTCTTGTTGAACCTGATTGACCCTTCGTTTAAGTCTCTTGAAGACTTCCCCGTGAAACTTGGCGTTAACGGTTTGCCCAGGAGGAACAAATTCATGGTAAACGATGCCTTTGATATCAAAAAAGACAATGAGCACCGTTTTCACTTTGGATTTGCTCATTCATCAGCGACCTCTTCTAGCCCTCCAGAAAGGTCTGGTGGCACCGAAACATTACGGTGGTCATGGATATTAGTGAATATGCCTTCTGCAAATGTTTAGTTATTTTTTATACATTTTTTTATTACTTCCAAATAGAGTTATTCAGAGCAGAACTAGTTACCATCTTCCTCCACCGAGTTTAACCAGAAAGTAATTTTCTGACGGAGTTCGTGTATACAAGTGAAATCAATAAAATTCAGACATCTTTTTATGTTCCTTGACTGAGAAACTCTTCTACATACAATCCAATATACCCTTACCACAAGTACTTGTACAAAAAGCAAAAATATAAGGAAAACTACACAAGGAACATGAAAGCTAGACAACAACCGTTTATTTTTAGCAAATTTAATGGCGTGTAAATCGTTGTCTCGCTACTTCCGGTTTAACGGTTTTACTACATCATCTGGTGGCAACTGTTTAAGAAAAATATAAACGAATAAAACAAGAAAAAAAGGTTAACTTCGGCTTTACCGAAGCTAATATACCCTTCACAGGTGTATTTTTTTTTCATTTAATTTGTTTTTTTTTCCGACCTTAACAATTCTTTTGAAGATTAAAGCGGATCTTGGGCAATAATCAATGCTAAATTTCAAGAACACATAATAACTTAATTTTGATTATCAATTTGTATGGCAGGTTTTGTTATCCGATCTGCAAAATTTCTTCAACTATTGCAGCGTTGCCTTGAGAATAAATACCTCAAATTTGCAGAATATATCTCGTTAACTGAAAAAGTCTCCAATGCAAACATTTTACTCCGATCGTTCAGTTTGTATGGCAGCTATGTGTTATAGTTAACCGATCTAAACAATTTCTTCGGAGATTATATTGTTGCCTTAGAAAATAACTTGTGCCAACTTTAGTGAAGATACATTGTCAAATGTTAAAGTTTTCCATACAAGAACTTGATTCCGATCGTTCAGTTTATATGVCAKCTAWATGTTATAGTGGTCCGATATCGGCAGTTCCGACAAATGAGTAGCTTCTTGAAGAGAAAATGGTGTTTGCAAAATTTCAAAACGATATCTTAAAAACTGAGGGACTAGTTCGTATATATACATACAGACGGACAGACGGACATGGCTAAATCAAATCAGGTCAACATACTGATCATTTATATATATACTTTATAGGGTCTCCGACGCTTTCTTCTGGGTGTTACAAACTTCGTGACAAAATTAATATACCCTGTTCAGGGTATAAAAATACTTTAACTTCAGTTGCACCGAAGCTATAATACCCTGCACAAATACAAAAGATTCAGCTACATGCTATAGTGGTCCGAGCTCAATGATTTCTTCGAAGATTGTACCATTGCCTTAGGTAATAACCCACCTCAAATTTCGTGATGATATTTCATCATACAAAAATGTCCATAAACGGATTGTATTTTGATTTGTCAGTTTCTTAGGCAGCTACATTCAATAGTGGTCTGATATCGGCGGTTACGACAAATTAGCAGCATGCTTTGAAGAATTTTGTGAAATTTTAGACAAAGATAGACGGATTTTGCTAAATCGACTAAGCTTATCACGCTGCCCATTTATACATATATACTTGCATGCGTACATATATATATTTACATACGTACATCTAACAAATTTCCTTTCAAACGTTCAGGATATAAAAAATTTCCAAATAGTGAACATTTTCCAAGTAATGCTCAGTTATTCTAGATAAACATTCAGATATTTATTCTCTTACTGAATAGTTAGTGTAGTTATAATGAATACATGGCGTGCCTGAGAGCAATTTCACATTACAATTCTCTTGACATTAAACTACGCTGCTTATTTTGTCAAATTATAAGCTCATAAACAATTATATCATATCCAAAACCTTTTTTAGGCAATTTATATAGTCAATATATTATTTATTTGCCCTTCGATTAAATATCGAATTAATAATTCAGTCGAATATGAAAAATATATGTAAGGAAGCTAAATTCGATTGAAGCCAAAGATTCGGTTTTTTCTGTTCCAAAATGCTCCATGAAGACACGGAAGAGGAACCATCGAAACCGTTTCAAGAAAAGAATTTTAATTGGCAATTTATATAAAGTTTCTGGTACTAATTTTATTATTTATATACTTGACAGCTGGAGTGCAATTTCACTCTGATTTCATCAATATAATAAAAATAATGACAGGTCATGAATGTAAGAGAAGATAAGACCACAAGAATGCACAGAAATTATTGACTCATAAAGAGTTCGGATAGTTGGTGCAGGCACAAGGAAGAGTTTCGAAGCGGTTACTTTTTGGTGAACTTTCGACAGAAAAACATGTTACTTCCTGACGTCATGAAGGAATTATGGGTGCTTTGTTTACGACTAATAAGAAAATTTGACAGTTCGTTTCATTTGGGGCATATCGTGTATCAATTTTGTTTCCATCTTTCCTTTTTAGTCCCTTTGGAAATTAATGACAAATTAATTCTAAATAATGTATTTAACTAAAACAACTAAAAACGGTAAACCGCTAAAATTTTAAGCGAAAAATATACATAAAAAAATAAAGTATAGATTTAAAAAGTCCTATATTGAGAACTACTCCTATTACTACTTAAACTGTATGATTCCAATTAAAGATAGTTTCGAATGATTTAGAGGAAGATATTTTTTAAAGGATAGATTAAATCAATAAAATATTAAATTAATAGCTATAAAGCAAATAATTTTAAAGAAAATTTAGTTCACGCAAATTGATAAAATAAGTTTAATATTACTTACTGTATTGACATACAGCAAAAGATATTGGCAACAAAACCTTGATGTGTTAGATTTGATTGTTATATCGTAACACTATTAGATAATGGTTTAGGAATCAAAAAATTATTTTTAAATATCCCTTATCTTAGTGTTTATTATAGAGTTAGGGGACTTTCACTAGTGCCCTGCGTATTTCTATGTTTATTTTTGTATTTAGAATTTTTTTAATTAAACTCAAAAATCCCTAAACTTACTGAATCTTAAAAGTATAGTTGATGAATAATATTATATAATACGCACTTATGACTATTTTTCTACTCACCGAAAATGACTCCCAACAATACACCCGACAGCGTCACCAGCAACATGAGATTCTCCCGCAACCATTTCCGGTAGCCGGTCAGTTCACGTGGCGCACCGCTACGTTCCGTGGTCTTCGGTGGCAGTTCGGTGCCATTAACAGTTGTACTACTGGGCGGGCCCATTTTCGCAAAGAGATAATCTGAAAATTGTTCAGATTTTTCCATTGTATAATTGGACGCTTTGCCCCAATTGGCCACTTTCGATAGATGCGCTATTCGTAGAGCGTAAATGTGTACAGCGGCAGAAGGAAGGAAAGAGAAATGGGCAAAGAGGTTTCCGAAAACAAAAAATTAAAGCTCGCACAGCGACACTGGTACGCAGTGACTGAGTTACAATTGGTAATGTAGATACATACACACTTGTATGCGCTATTTAAGCTGGAGCAATCGATAATGGCGGCCCCTCTGGCTGGGGTTTTTTGTGTTCGCCTTTTTTCTAATTACCAATTTCTTTATCTTCCTATTTGGCTTTGGCTCGTCGTTGGCTATTAAGGTAATTGTTTATTGATCCATAGTGGGTAATAGGTTTCTATTTTCGTTTTATTGCATGTTTAATTATTATTATTATTTTTTTTTCTTAATTTTTGTTTTTTGCTAGGGATTTATTATTTTTTACTGATTTTACTTTGTGCGTCAGAGAACAATCCGTTACAATTATTATTATGGGTTTATACATATATAGGTATATATGACGGTTATTAATTACTTTTTAAATATTTCACATTAAATTTAAGTATATTGATTAAGTACGCCATTGATTCCGGAGCTATGTATATTCAATTGATGTTGCTAACTTGACAGTTAATTGACATAACGCTTTTGTGGCGTATTTCAATGCTGTACGGCTACCGATGCGGAGTGGTTTTTTTGGGACGTGAATGCCGCCCAGTTGTATAGGCGGACTCGTCCGGTACGTCTAGTAGCAATTGAAATTTTAGTATTGGCTCCGTTGTTGTGGTTTACTTGGAAACTTTGTTGAAAATTATTTATAAAACCTCAACGAACACTCGAAGTGAAAATTTAAAGTGAAACAAACTCAATTTTGTTTCTTTCTTTTTCTTTTTTTTTTTTTTTTTTTTTTTTTTTTTGTTGAAAAGATTCTTTCAAGATATTATTATAGTACTTGGGCAGTTAAGTGAAGCTGCAACTAGAAACGTACTCGTCACAATATTAAATTCGAGTTTTCAGCAAAATTTCTTTAGAGTTAGTAAGAAAAAAAATCAAATAATATTCACTTGGTATCACTAGACCCGAATTTTCCGACGAAAAAATCGATTTTCAGTTCTCCTGCACAGTTAATCTGTGTCAAGTGTCGGCCAAATCAGTATGTTTGCACTTCTCAGTTGATTTGTGGGTACACAAAAGGGCGTTGCACCGTCTAGTTCTTCGACACTTTGCTAATTTTTGTCTGATTTGTAAGCACTTAAACCAATTATTACTTATAATTCTTATTTAGGTTTTTTTGTTTTAAAATTTCCAACAGCTTTCTCCAGCGTTCCCTGCTTTTCCGACTGTGTGCTTAAAGAAATTTTCACAGTAATTATTTTCACAAAAATTGTGGTTCGCAAAGCAGCAACTCCGTCCAAGTCAGAATAGCAAAAGCGAATGAGAGTAACTATGCTCACGGTCTGGCCTATTATAGGCGGCGCTCTCTTAGCAGGATAAACTCAACGGAGCAATCGATGTGAGCACGTGCGGAGCTTTATGCGGAAACCGTAAGCTTAAAATGTTGATTTTATAGCAAACAAATGCTAACTGTCATACCAACTTACTTTCATATTTTTTGTTGCCTCACTCTGCTTTCGAACAAAACAAAAACAAAAATTAACTAGTGCAGTTGGCATAAGTGCCTACGTTGCAATATAATATTATATCATTCAACCCAATATGTGGTTTTTTTCCAGTAAGCATGTTTCGCGCATGCCGACGTTATTGTTAATTAACATTTCATTGCTTTTCAAAAGCTCACAACATTTACTACGTTGTTGTTGTTATTGTTATTACCGGCACACTCCATCTGTTGCTTTTTAGAATACTGACAATTATTTCAATTTGAAAAGCATTATTAGTTTGAGTGAATGACAAGCTTTCATTTGGGATGACATTTATTGATCCGCTAAATTGGAATGGCGTCTCAAATCATTTGTTGCCACACTCATATAGAAAAGCATCTGGGTGCCTTGCTAAAGGAATTTACTTTACATATGTGTGAATCTACTAAAATTTAATACTAAAGTCTTAAATTGTTTAGTTACTTCCATAAACTCTAAAGATTGTAGTGCCAAAATTTCAAATTTTTTGTTCTAGATGGCAATAAAAGCAAAATTTTGTGTCGACACCTTTTCCAACCACAGCAGTGCCAACAATAAAAACTAATAAAACTCAACATTTTTCATTTTCAAATAATTTAGTCCCGCTCCCTGATTATAGGAGATTTAGTATCCCGCCAGTTGGCAGACATTGAGATTGAAATATAAAAATGTCATGTGAAATAAGTATAAGCACAGCCATATGCGTATCGGTCCCATCACAAATATGAACAGCTTACCCTCTCGTGGAGCTGGTTGAGCTCATTTCTACTTTTTTATGCCAAGAAGGAGCAGCAGAGTCGAAAATATACCATAAACCTTTTTCCTTTTTTATCTTCACTCCAAATTTTCAAATATATAGACATAAATACTGAAGTGCCGCAAAATAGGAGTATTTTCATAGTCAGGGCCATAGAGAAAAAATCAGGGGCCGGGGAGGTTATATGATTCGAGACCCTTGATCCATAAATTCATTGATATCATATTTATGGAGAAAAAACTAGTTGAATTTCACCATTCGATGGGCAAGTTTCTAGGCACAATTAGTAACGTAATGAATAGAGCTCTAAAAAATCGTACACCAATGGGCATTATCCGCTAATGGAGAGGTAAATACAGGTAAGACGGATATGGTTCTCTTTGTAAGGAGATATAATGCTCCGTCATGGAAACCATCGTTGCTCAACGGGATAGAGTTAACCATTATAGATCATACTAAGTACCTGGAAGTAATTTTGAACAAAAACCTGACCAATGTGGAGGAGAAGTTGGAAAAGACCAATAGATGCTGGTGCTTTGGTGTGGCAGTTGGACCGCTGCCAGTAAAATATTTATCATAAAAAATGCCGTTGGAACGAATACAATTGCTCGCTGCTCTCTACATAACGGGAGCATTGAGAACCACTCCACCGGTTGCTTTTGAAATGTTAATCAATCTTCCACCTATTGAAATTGCAATGGAAAACTCAAAAGCGAAATCAGCTGCAAAATTGGTGGTGTTTGGTGAATTTTCAATAAGAATCTTCGGGCATACCGCTATGATGATGATGTCGATGGATAAAATAGATCACATATTCTCACGCTTTACCTAAGAGAGAAGGTTTCACGTCACGCTAAAAGAGGATGAATGGGGCAGAGGCATGCGAACTACTTAACGTATACTTAGGGGTAAAAAATGACGCGATGGAATCGACGAAATGGACGCGGGGCTAAATCTTGCAACTCTTCTTCCAGCCAGAAGTCTCTTCTACCAGAAAACCTGCTGAATTAGCTAACAACGCAAAAAATGACAATATAAATACGTCGATAAACAAGCGACGTTTAAAGCAATAATCTCCAGCCGTGAAACGAAATATCGTTAAAACGATACATCACAAAATTTCCGAAAGGGCTGTCAGACGGGTCAAGGTGAGATGGAATCGCCAGGATCATGTTCAAGGAAGCGGTAGGAAAGTACGCAAGTTTTCTACTCACACGGTTTCGAAAATACTACAGGACGGTTGTTGGCTTAGTCATAAATCACAACTTATTGGCAGCACATGCGAGCTTTATGAGCATCATTAACGATGACACATGTAGAAAGTGTAGAGAAGTAAGATTGAGAGACGCTGGAACTCCCTGTCTGCTTTTGCCCGGCCTTATCTTCGAAATTAAAGGGACTGGATGAAGTATCAGAATTAGATATAAGGTCTCTATTAAACTTCGAAAAAAAGCGTTGACGTTCTGTCGGCCGTACACCTCCATCTGGCATTGCAAAGAACCAGTTGATGTATGCCAGTCAGTGTCACCTAACCTAACCTATCATAATACATATGTATGTGCTCAAGTACACTTGGTAATGATCGGGCAAAGTATCCCGAAGAAACATTCATGCAAGGCATTTTCATTTTCGTTCTTAATGATGATGGCCACTAAGAAATCTGAGTAATTTTAAATTATTGTGAGAGGATAGTATTTTCATAATGGAAATGCATATGCACCGGAAAAAGCACCTCAAATGCATGCATCCAAACCAGAATAGCGACTACCTAAAAAACTTATTGGCAGCTTGGTAATAATAACCCCTTTCTTTCAAAAAATTAATTTTGCGTTCTTGATTTTGATGTTATGATTGCAGATCCAGAACCACAATTTCATTTAAAGTATCCCATTCACCTTCACTCTGTGATCCTCTGTGCCAAATTAGTTTGTCGATATTGATTTATTAGAGGATTTATGGTATTTTAATTATTATTATTTTCTTTTTAAACTACTTGCTTGTCTATTTGGTTTAAGAAAATATTATATATAACTTCACAACAACTCAATTCATATAAACGTCGACATGCTTACCTAATTCTACTTAGATATATCATAACCTCAATAATGCGTGTGGACTACTTTCAAAAGTGCTTCGTAAAACACTTTAATAGTTGATTTTATAGTTCTTTGAACATCAAAGAAAAAATGAAAGTAAGTTCAAGCCAAAACAAATATTTTTCATATACAATCGATTATTAATAACTTAAATACCCGAACACAATTTATTGACATCATAAATCGAATCGTTGAATCATTATGTGTCACCCTGTACAACAAAATTAAGTAGCCGTCACATTACATTGCATTTTATTTTCAGATTTGAAAATGCATTTAGGTACATGTAAAATATTTAAAAATAGTTTTAATTGTTATTAATCTCTTCTGACATCGATTTGGTTGCCCAACGCCGGCGTTGTTGCCCAACTTTTTTCTATTTGCTTTGACTTTTGCTTTGCTCTTTGGTTTTTCCGTTTTCGCAAATTAGTGCCCATTTGCGAATCGCATGACTTTTACCTACGTATGGCGTTTGAATAATTAAACAAAACAAAAAATTCATTCGATGATGCTTCTCTTTGACTCTTTGCCATTTGGCAAAGTAATTTATTGAAGCGCCTTGCACACTCTGACAATTGAAATATTTCAGATAAATTCACTAGTATATAATTCGGTGGTAAATAGATGAGAAATTAACCACACGTGCCAGAACAATAAATATAAATATTCAAATTTTCCAAAACTATTCGACGGACAAAATTTGTATCACAGGAGAATGCGGTAGTTTCAGCTTATTTATAAAAGATTGGAATGAAAAATAATAATTTTCTTATGAAACTTGCTTATTACCTTATTTAGAATCCATTTTTAATATAAAAAGAGTTCGTTTTAAGAAACGTAAAACTATAATCAATATAACTGTATTGGTGATGTTATACAATTTTCGGAGTACAGTTGTTACTTGATTTGTACTCAGTTTGGTTTGCCATATTATAAAGAATAGACTTAGTCCGAAATGAAATTTGCAAATCATCCAAATTTATTACCAAAATAATGGCTCGGTTCGCTCGATGCATCGCGCATTTATTCTAGTTAATAATGTGCGTTCTTAGAGACACCGTACAGTGTCACCGAAGACAATATTGCTTCTGTGGAGTAGAGTATCCAAGAAGACCCGAATGAAAGAATATTTTTTTATAGTAAAACTAGTCTAAATTATGTAAAGCAAAACTAATCTGACAAAACCAGAGGTTATGCCACTTTAATGAGATATCTACATAGCCTCTTGTATTGAATCCCACTCGGTAACTTGTTGTTGCCTATAGATGTCATGTTTTTGATAAATGAGCAGAACGAAGATAGGGAGGAGAAAATTTGACAACTTTTTCGAGTTTAGCAAGGTTAATTAAATAATAAGCGACTTCTAAACAAGTGAGGTTCGTGAAAAAAGGCAGGAACCAAAATCTATTAAAATAAAAAATCGCAGAGTTTGTTTTGTCTTCTGAGCGATTCCCAAAATTTGTACATATTATATTATATATTCCAAGGCATCGTGTTTTAGTTGTACATTCTTTTGGCACCGTGCTAATAAATAATTCAGGTTTGATACCAATTTTTTTAATCATTAACATAAACCAAAAAAATGTAATTGTTCTAAAATTACTTTTTCAATTTTTAAAATCCACAACGATCTGTCGAAACCACCTTACCTTCAAATAATAAAATTGACATACTATTTCTTCTTGTTCCAACTGACATCCTATTCTCTTCGGCTATACGTGAGAGTCAATTCATTACTGACGTAGAAACTAGAATCAAAGCAAACTCAAGTTAACTCAATATTTTTTTATGTCTGCAAAGAGTCCTCCAAAGCTAACGTCCTTAATACTTTCTTCACGCACGCACTCGTAGTTCAAGTGGGGGGTCAGCCACATTTTCGTACACGCAATTCCGTGTATGTAGTAATTTTCACACAAACACATATACAGTTCATACCAAGTGGGCACTTAGTATTAGCACGAGTCGCAAAAGTACTTTATTATTTATGGAACACACGAAAGAGCAGTTGATATTGATTTGTTCAAGTTAACTATTTAAACAACAAATTGATGACGCGCAATTTTAATTGTTATATTTATATTTCCGAAAACGAAAACGAGTGGGAATGCCAGCTGACTAAGCTATTTAACTTATGCGGAAAGTTTACTTTTGAAGTTAAAAGTGGAATATTCTGATTTTATCGATTTGCAATGACCCAATGGAAATGTGGGGAAACAAAAAACTATTTAACAGTGTTGTATACATACGTATGCGTATATATCTCTGTATTATAATATAGATCTCGCCAGTGAGTATATTAAAGGCGACAATAAAAAATTATTTTAGATGTTTTCATTTTAACAGGGATCGTCCTTTTGCTGCTTAAAAGTTTCCCCAACTTTAGGAAACACGCTGTTCTAAATGAATATGTATATTATAAATAATATAAAAATATATAATTATGAAGTTAAAATTATATAGCAATTGGTTCACGCACTATATCCGGCCGTTAAAACTACCTTCTGCTACATTAAAATTAGTAGATCTCCTCATTAATTAGAAACCTTACATCACTGAAAAGTTAACCCCTGAAACCGCCATAATCAGGACTCATTTCCGATTTATGATGCTAGAAGCATTAAAATTTGTAGTAAAATATATAGAAATATAAAGAGATATAACATATATTACCTAGTTTTAACCAATAAAAAATTTTCATATAAGTACTAAATGAAAAATCTTAAACCGGTAAAAAGACATAGTTAATTAAAATATATAGAAATATAATGATCTAAAATATTTGGAGTATTGGTTTTTGAATAGCTATGCAACTCAGAAAGATTTTATCGATGCCAACATATTTTGAGCTTCATTGAATGTTTTAAATTAGCAATGGTTCATAAAATAAGAGAATTTGTTCACATAGTATCCCTGATAAAAAGAATATTGATGAAATTGGTATACTGAAATCACGGACAATACAATTGTTATCAATTTTGAAACTAAATTAGCTTCGTTTCCAAATAATGATTTAAATGCGATACTGCTTTTGTTAACAATAGAAAAGAGTTTAAAAATTTCAATAATGCAAAACTGTGACTTGATCAGAGTTACGGAAATCCCACTTACAAAGAAGAATATACCACTAATCAAACATAATAATAACAATTTTCGACAACGCTTTTGAAAAATATAACGGCAGTCCGCTGGATTTATGTCATCGAAAGCGTCCATAATCGCAACAAACGCCAGCTAGTTTCTAGCTAGAATATTTCCTTAGTTTTAAAATTATTTTCATTCAATCAATAGAACCAGGTAACAAAATCTATAAGCAATATCACTGTGCATTTTTGGATTTGAAGTCGATATGGAAGTTAGGCCAAATTTTTGGCGTCCTCAGACGAAAGTATTTCAAAATTCATGATAATTTTTTTCGTAATATGTAGTAGTAAATATTGTTATTTTGCATTTATAATAATTTCACAAGAAATAATTATTACTGATTCTTCTTCATTAAAACGAACATAACTTTGCAATAGAATTTTCTGCAATATCCTTCTACCCATTTGGTTTGAAAATATTCGTAGATAACAAACGTCACCGAACGTCCAAAGTAATTAGAAGAAGACTTTCTCTTCCCTTCTTGTACACATTTATGCCACTTTAATCAACATACAATAATATATTATGCTGCCACATACCTTTAACGACTAACCACAATTTACCCAGTTTCGCAATTTTGTAGCTCTACGAATAAAAGTGAAGATAATTCCGATATTGCCCCTTACGCGGTGTTTCTGCTCTTGCCTTTCCTCTTTATGGGTCGCTTCTTTCAAATGCAAGTCAACTGATAAAACCGTTCTATTTATAATATTCGCGTTCTCTTGACGCTCTCGTCGTTTAAATACGCTTCTAATACTCTTGAACAGAACGTGGCTCTAACAGAACTAACGTATCGCCACCGAACTCAGACTGACTAGTTTCCGCAGCAATTTGTGCTGCAGTTGCATCAACAACTTCAAGATTCTTTGCACCGCTGTAGCCGTTGTAGAGGTTTTACTGCAACAATACAATACAAACAAAATATATTGTTAACGAATTTATTTTAAGTAGTGAGCATTGTATGTTATCAAAATAAAATTAACTGGAACAGCCAAACTGTTATTTTAGTTATTCGTATAAACGAAAAATTACTTTGAAACTACTGAGACCTATTTTAGCTTATATGATAAGATAGGTACTTGGATGATAGGGTCCCACACATTAGATTTTAGTTTCACTTTCAAATTTTATAAGGATACTTTATAACATCTTTTGAAACTTTCATAAGATATATTTTTAACATTGCAAGATGCACCAAAAAATGTAATTTTTGCAGCCAAGGATAGATTTTACAGTTAGATCACCATTGTGCACAGTTGACGGAGAGCTAAACACATTGATTTATTTTTTTTCTTCGGCACATGTTAATACCGATGCATTACTATCACTGTTAAGAGTAGAACTACAACCATCAGGACTTAAAACTATAAATATTTTCATTTTGGATGTTTTACCCGAAATTGGATACATTTTGGATTTCGAAGTAAAAACACATGTTTTGATAATTCTTCGTATCCAAATACTCTAACATTTCGATACACCTTATAGCTTCCGTTTTATATATGTACAATTGATTTAGGTATAGTTATACTTATACATTAGTCGCTGCTTACTATGTTTCTTTCCGTTTAGATTGTTCAAATGTCAGATGATGAGATTTCAGTTAGAACAGGAATTTCGAAAAGGATTTGATTATGAAATTAGTTGAAGTCGAATCGAATGGGATTAAGCCCATTTTAGAATTCAAAAATCGGAATGAAACAACTTTTTCCTGCCCAAAATTAGTCAACTTCAGCATGGTAAATTTTAAACGCATTTTTCTCGATACTGCATATTTAAAATTGGTCGGCAACAATACTCAAAGAACACCCAAGTATCAACTCGTTCTATTAACTGTAACTTCTTGCTAACATTATTTATTAAACCACTTTTGGTTTTTAATAATATTGAAGTATTTTTATTTTCTGATAATTATTTGTATAAGAATTGTAACTTTTTTTAAGTCCGCCAATTTGCGCAATTTTTTAAAATTTGTTGTAAAGCATAGAACGTACGTACTTCACTGGGATTTTTTATGGAGTTTTTTAAGACAGCACCTATTCCTAGAAACCCCGTCGAGATCTTAAAAAAGGTGGTTTCGAATGTTATCTCTTTTTTTTATCAAAATTTTTATGCACTCAAATACATATTCAATAAAGCCTGGAAAAAGAGTTTCGATCCCGTTTTCTTTATTCCCCGAACAAAGTGTCAAAGTTAAGTAATTTTGGAGTGTATAGACAGGCCTAGCGCTTTAAATAAAATGTTCGCGCCTAAGCGATACAAATCACTTTGAAATTCTGTGACGTGGTTTTGACTTAAAATAACTACATTTTTCAAAACCTTTTAAATTGCTAACTACAGAATTATGAAGCTTTCGACGCGCTAAAACTAACCTTTGAATTCAGCCGAAGAAAATCTTTACTTATCCACTATGATGCACAAGATTCACTTTGGGTAATTTTGAGTTTCAGTTAACAGGACATACGCTGAGGTTGCCTGCGTCGATATGATGCGCGCCACACGACTTTTCGCTTTAAAGTAAGCGCTTTGCTCCACTGTTTCAGGAATAAAAAAACTCTCGACTGCCGATCGAATCACTCGCAATATAAGGAAGTTAATTTTCCACTTGTTACAACGTGACGTGCTTACGTGTGTATGTATGTAGGTTGTTCAGAAATTTATTTCCACGCACAAATTATCAAAACAAACAAACGGTGAGAAATTACGCGCCAATCAAATGCGAAAATTGGCGTTGCTTTGGGGTTGCGTGTAGTAAAATTAACGCTGCGTGTTTTGTAACAACGGATCGGAGCAAGAAAGTGCCTAGCAAATTGGCTGAGCTGTAAGCAAATAGATGCGTTTAACGAACTACGACGACGACGACGACAACGACTGTCACCAAATCGCGCTGAAGTGTAACTGCAAGCGAACCGAACGGAAATTTGTTTGGCTGACTGGCCGAACTTTTGTGGTCGAAGCGGGCATGATGCTAAGCCGTTGAGGTTAAGTTGTGGTCGTAATTTTTGCAGATGGAGAACACAATATATGTATATATGAACAATTGTATGAATGTGCGAATGCACTGCGATCCTCTCTGTAGTAGAGTGAAATGTCTACGGGTTGACGCTAGCAAAGGGTGCAATTGGACGCTGCCGACAATATTTAAAATGAGTATTAAATTAAATTTAGCACAAATTCTCAAGCAAAGCGAACACAGTCACATGTGTACACGTACTGCTGTTACACACAGAAATATATGTATGTGTGAATGCCTACTAGGGTTGTCCGATAATGACTTGGCCTCCCACCCGATTGGACCATTATAAAAACAGAAATATATTATCGGCAGTATATTATTATAAATGATTACTGTCTAAATTTCAGTCGACTCGAGTCCGGCATTTAGTTTTGACATTGTGCGACATTTCGATATTGTACCGGCAATCTAAAGTTGGTTTAACCAGTTTTATAGTAGTATTTCCTCGTTTTTTGATGGGCCTTACCTACCTATACTCAAAGTGGTTACCACTAAGGACAACATGACAAAAGTCATCGATCTCGCATTAATAGAACGCCAATTGACTGTACCAGTAGAAGCCTCCAACTGGACTACTTCTATCCACCGTGTTCTCCATATTTTCCTTTGAACGACTTTTTTGCTTCCACACTTCAAACAGCCACTCACAGTGTGGAAATTTAAGTATAATATGCTAACCACACTCGTAAATAACGACTAGCGGAAAACTCTCTGCGCTTAATATGAAAAATATTTGTTATATAAAATGATGATTTTCAAACCCCTTTCAGTGATATTCAAGTCTTCAAAAATATATTAAATAATGTATATATATAATAACCCTACTTCTAATACGTATATTAAGTATAAAACAACTGCTAAGTTCTTAGACAAGCTTATATAGTTAATCCCTTCCGAAGAGCTGAAGAATTTAAGGATGGACTTCATTGCTGAAACTAAAATCAAAGACTTTGGCAGTATTTTTCCAAATGACTCAACTTTGTTGTAACAATTTTTTTGTTAAATTTTTGAAGTTTCATTGCTTAAGTGTTTATATGCGTTTACGGGTTTCGAAAAGTCGAATTTTTTTATTGTCTACAACACATGTAGAATATTAAAGGTGATCACAGTAATAGTTTCAGAGATACAACCTTGAAAACTTGTGCGCTCGATGCTAGCAAGGCGATAGGCATCGCCTTTAAACGTGTTTTTCTCGAAACCGTGTTTTCACGAAACTCAACCAATCTTCTTGAAACAGGGCTTTAAGATCAATTCTTAAGACTTAGACGAAGAATTTTTCTCCGATTACAATTATTTGAAAAAAAAAAAACTGTCGCAAAATTTTCACTGAAATTTTAATTTTTTTTGTAAAAATGTCTGCCAAAAGTCCAATTTTTAGGTTTTTTCCCTCGTTCGAAGTTTGGATTTTAACTAAAACACCTAATTTTTATTTTAGATGATCCTGTAAGGAGTTATCCTGTGGCGGGCGTATCTTTTTCCGAGGGCCACTGAAAATGGAGTACAGTTGCCAAGTTTAAAATAAGTAAATAGTCCAAAAATTTCAGAATGTTTATAACAAAAAAAATTTTAATTGAACATCTCATTTTTATGTGAGAAAAAAAGACTGTTTTTTGCCCGAGGAAACCCATATAACCTCTTAAATTTGCACTACAACCTTAGCTACTATCGGTTTGGTCCTCACTTCATTTTACTAGTTCATTTTTGACGGGGTGCTTTTTCTCTACGATTGTTGTTGGCAAATTACCAAAGCAAAGGGCTCACGACATCATCGCAGCCAATATGTTAATACTTGTATAATTTTAAGCTCATTAATGACGCGCGAGTAGAGAAAAAATAATAAGCTAACAATTGCGCCAAAACGCAAACACACATTTCCGCATACATACATAAATATATATTTAGCATAAGCATACATTTTTTCTAATTTGCCGCAACTTCTTTGAGCCAAAAAAGATATAAACTGCTTTTGAAATTTCTTTTGGCAAATGTGGCAACATCAATCTGTCTTATTCTTCAACTTTTTTCACTTAGATTTTGTCTGTCAATGACTGAATTTACCACTATTATTCAGTCGTTTGATTCTTAATTAAGTTCAGCGTTTGACAAATAAACAATTACATTAGATATATGAATATTACGCCACAACATTCTGATGTCAAACCTATTGCCAATATATCTTTGAATGTATGGTTTGTGTGTATATGAGCACATGTAACTGTGGCACACTCTTTCTTCGGAAATTTTTCTTCGCTGTTACGTTAATTTTAAGCTTGTGTTTTTATCGTCATTAGAATTTCTCATCTTTTTCTATACTCAATTATGAATGTGTGTTTATGTATGTACATTAGGGTGTTTTTTTTTTAACTATTAATTTTTTTCAATCCCATCTTGAAATTTCCTTGGAAATATCCTGAACGAAATTCTCTGAAAGTTTTAGCCCTTAACAGAACTGGAACAAGGCATGTAAAAATTGTCCATTGAATATACACTTCAATCGTGATTTTTTATCTTTAATTCCTACAGATCAGAGGTATTTAATGGCATCGCTTTGATTTTAGATGCATATATCTCAGAAGCGTTGACTCTAAAAAAGTGACCAGTTCTCCTTCTAAGTAAGGCTTTATATATTTTTTATAGATGGTATGTATTAAGAAATTTATCTATTAAAATTTTTACATGCCATGGTCCAGTTCTTAATGTTAATAATTTCTGGGATTTTTGTTTAGGATATTTCTAAGGAAATTTCAAGACGGGATCATGCTATCATAACATAAAAGTGCTTTTATAATTTCTCCGTAATGTCATTTAGATGTTAGGTGTAAATTAGTGCATTTCAAAATATTTAAAGAACCGAAATCTTTACAATGATGTCCTAAATAAATTGACAGGCATAATTTTCAAATAACAAAAAAATTAAAATTTTTCTATGTTTATAAATTTAACCATTCTAGAAAGACCCAAACTATGCCACAAACATTCTCGAGTTATTTACACAATTTTTTTAACCCATCGCAACCTAGCGAGTTTACCATTTTTAATCAAATATTGAGCGTTGAGACAATTTAAATTTATTTTTTTATTTTTCTTTCTTTCTACCCACATATTTGCTATATATTTGACTGAACTTTTTCTCCATTCATCCATCACAGGGAATGCCCATTGAAATTATGATTGTTACATATATACCGCTTATTTAAATCACTTATATATATATATTTATATTGCTTTCTAGTGAGATAAAGAAGGAGAATAGTATGAGGTATTTTTGAGAAGATCCGTTCCTTCAGATATTAGAAATCTTACATACTTTAGCCCGTAATAACCAATAATTCATTAAAATACCTGTCTTCGATTTGCCAATTCTTCTTTGATAACATTGCCCACTGTGCACGGTTTTAGTGCTACTATATTTTAGACCCGTTTTGCGATTCTCAATCTTGAGCTCTTGCTTATATTACAACAAAAACATATACCTCCATATTTCAATTTGAATACTATCAATGCTGAACACTATAAATTGATTTATAAGATCGCTCTCAAACTGTCCACCGTAACCGTAACCAGATGCATTCATGACATGACCGATCGCACATTTTTTCTGATATATCGACAAACATGTCATGAAATTTAAATTTAGGTTCTGTTTCATGTTCTTTCTCACTTCCCTTCCACCGTTACTCATGTATAACCGGCAAGTTTTACATTCAACCTTCCTTTCACATACAAATTGTATGTTTTCTAATTTGTTCTGCTAGTACAAATCATATCCCATTAGTATTTGTTTTGGGTCTTTGTGTTCTAGTACTTGCGTTGAGAGTGACATAAACGCTAATAGGAAAATTGCCTGCTTATATTTGTGTTACTTATTTGCATTTAACGAAAGGTACACGCGCGCTCAGTAATTTATGTATTTATGTACATATTTACAAGTGCATGTGTGAAATTGTAATTACGCATACGCCATGGTGTCTGCCACCGCAAATACCATACATATAATCGACATGTGTAATTCGCTTCAAAGAAAGGCACTACAGGAACAATTGGAAGCGTATAAATTTGCTTATAATTTTGTTTGTGCTCTTTATAATTGGATTAAAGAAGTGATGGAAATTAGGCAGTCTAAATTATAGGAAAATAAATTATATTTTGAATGTAGTTAAATCCATATAGTTAAATAAAACAAATCATATATGTAGGTAAACACTAAAGAATTATATTTCGCATTATTCAATTGATTTAAATAGTTTAACGCTAATCTCTTGGCTTTAACAGCCCAAGAGGAATGACAAAAATTATTTGAAGAAGTTGTTGAATATTCTCAGATTATATTTTTGCATTCCTGATGGGTATTTGTTATTTAAGCGTTACGATATGAATTGACGCTTAATATTTTCCCTTATGCTCACTTATGTTACGTTTATAGGTATAATACTATATATGTTTTGAATGTTCATTTTAGTTATGTGTGTCATTTCAATTAACAAATACATAGACAAGGCTTGCATATGCTAATGCTATCAAATTGTAAACATGTTGTATATACGAACATTACAAAGATCAGCTACGTACTCTTCCTTCAAAGAATTATGCCATGAATTGGAGTTTATACCACTCCACTTTATATATCACGACAAGGTAATTTTTTATATTTGCATGTTGTATTCCTTGCTTAAGGTGCATCATATGTTGAACTAATGCATGATGTCTAAAGAGAAGAGAGTCTACAAACTAGTGTTATCCGGTAACTACATGCATTGTCTGTGATTTATTTGTGCATCGCCCTAGACACGTCTAAGTCATATTCTTTGTAGTGTTGTCAATTGATAGCGTTACTTAACAGTGTTACACAAAGGCCTTGTTACATAATTTAGATATTACATTTGATTCGCCTCTTTCTAGGGTCAGCTG